GACTTTAATCATGTATAAAAGAACCTTATTGTGCATATGGTTGGAGGTAGATGTGGGTTTCCATATTCTCTTCAACTATAGCTTTATAAATTATCTCTGCTTCATATTGAGTTTTGTTCTAAAATCTATTTTGGAATGAAAAGCTTCCCAGGCATGGTTCTTCTGTCTCTTTATTAGAGATTTGGTATTCAATGGAAACAACAGATTGTATCCATCTGCTTAGTAATACTGATTTCCTTGGTTCCTTGTTCCCCAAGAACAAACTACTTATTTTTTGTTCTACATTCGGTTGGGGCCTGATATTTCTACAAAACTCTGTAAATTTGTGCTTCATACAAATTTGGCAATGAGAATACAAGATCACCGTAAATTTTACAACATATTGATATATTTTTTAAGTTCCATAGGAATGATAGGGCAGGACATTACAAATGCATCAATATGACATGAAATCTTCCAAGAATACTGCCTCAACGAATGGTGTTGAGATGGTTCGTTGAGTCCAGTGAGTTTTGAAATCTTTGATTTGTCATTTCTTCAGCTATTCTAGGTTTCACATCCCCCAAGTTCCAACTAAGGCAGGCTGCTCAGAGTGACGCCAGGGTCTTTCTCCCAGTTTTTTTTTTTTTTTGGGTCATTCGCTAGGGAAGGGGAGAGAGTATTATATTGGATTGCCTCAAAATTATCACCTATGTAAATCAAACCCAAGTGCGTATGGGGTCTCCTAGGTTTACTCAAATAGTGTTGTATTTTGGTTAAGGCCCCGTTAGAAGAGAGACTTCCGTATGTATGGGCTTTGGTAATTGGTACGCTTTATGTCTTGTTCGGCGTTTGGTTGGCTTATGTTTGGGCACCATGCTTAGATCTCTCAAATTTGATTTTATTGAGCCTACTTTTGTGTAACTGCCCTAATGTAATATTTCCTTGTTAATGGAACTTCTTTTCGACAAAAGAAAAACAAACAGAAAATAAAGCATGGAAGGACACTTGCTTAAAATATTGCTAATGTTGCTTGGAACTTGGAAGCTAGTAGGAATGGAAAACATTGAAAACGAAGGAAAATTTTGTTGGAAGCTAGAGAGCAGGCGAGCAATGTTCTTCTCAACCGTGCTCCCAAGTTTGCATGGAGATGCTTACTTATAAAAAAAGGAAGGATCCTAAGAGATTACATG